TGCTGTGCTGCCGGCACAACAAAGCTGTGCTGGGGTCGAGTACGGTCTTTCCCCACCGCGTGCCTTTTCCCGGCGGTGGCAGTTTCCCTGTCACTTCAGTGGTGAGGGAGGGCGGCCCCACTCCGCCGTTCAGCACCAGCTTTGTGCAGCGAGGCTGTGCCTATAAAAGAGAAAGTGCTGGGCCCTGCTGTACTGCTCGGACTTTTTCGCGTGCATGGGAGGACGCGGGGACCTCGAATCTCACCGGTATCATACCGACCAGTAGCTGTGAAAGTCACTCGGTAACATGACTGCAGCCCCTGCGCACCTTCCCCTCAGCTGCTGTTCTCGGATAGGGAATAGTTGCTCCTGGGTGAAGCTCTGCAAGGACCTGCTTAGGCAACGTGATCTTGCCATGTACAAGAGGCTGGAGCCTGGAAAGGGCAGAAATTACAAGCAAAGGTATCCACCCCCTATTCACGGCTTTAAAAAAAAGGAAAAGCAGCAATCCCAGGTAGGGTAGAGGAAAGTTGCTATTTATATTGCTATTGATGCTATTTTAGCGATTATAACATATAGGCAGTTCCTACACACCACGTGTACTGACAGCAGCCTCATTTTAGCAGCCTGAGCTACAAAGCAAAATACTTTCAATTGGAAGTGTGTTGTAATCACAGTCATTTCCTAAGCTGCATGATGAGAATCTACTTCCTGTGGTTGTGCTGTTTTATAGTTCCTGTCCTGTTTTCAAAGTACAGTATCTACAATTTTTCCAGACCTAAGCAATAATAGACAGGGATTCCCTGTTTTTTGGCAACTTAGGGCAAGAACTGTAGGACACACTAGCAGTACAGAGAAGAAGCAATGGGACGAGGACCAGGTCTAGTATTTTGGGTTCAAACTTTACAAAGGCTGATTGGACAAGGGAGTCATACCCCAAAACTGGAGTGGCTGCAACTCACACACCTGTTGAGACTCCAGTTCGCATTACCTGCAGTTTGAGCAATCACTACGTTCCAGGTTACTGTACTGATGTGAGCAGCTAATACGGATCACTTGAGATGACAGCCAGCGGTTTGTCCAGGAGCTGTCTTGTCTGTGTGAATACCTGCGCCAATGGAAAGATGCATTATTACAGAATACAGTGTCCACTCGAGGACCCATTCTAGGGCGTTATGTGCAGTGCTATCAAGTATTCTGATCCATTACCTCCTGTAGGTAAGATGTTACCCTGAGCCAGTAAAAGGAAAATAAAGCACATTATTTGTCACAGCAGACATATGTTTGATAGACCTGCTGACGATGTGCTTTAGAAAACAGTGAAGAAAGAGAAAGGAATTTAGTTCATACTGAGTTATTTAAATGCTGGTGATACCGTATTATTAATGGTATATGAAGATGTCAAGAGCCTCAGCTCGGCATCTGTTATTGTTACTTAAACTGGAAAAAAAAATAAATAAAAACAGGCTTACCAGGGAGATGAGAAATAAAAAATAGTTCTGATGAGAAGGTTTCTTAAATAAAAGCATGTTCTGTGGGAGCACAGACAAATTTCATTTCAGATCCTTCCACAGGACAAGACTGAAAGATACCACAGTTGCAAGTAAAATTGCAAATACATAAAGCATACAAGTTTTTAAGAAACTTACCACTGTTTAAACTACCACTCTCACTCAGGTAAGCAGATGGCATCATTCAACGCTTTAGGGAATGAATTGTCAAGTTTCCCATCAAGATCTGGTTAGTTTTTTTTTTCTTTAAAGAGAAATTACTTTCTACTTAACCCCAGGAGCAAAAGCACAGACAATTCAAGCTGGTTGTGCGAATTTCAACTGAGAGTTGGAGGTCTGTCGTAGTTAAGAGTTCCCTCTTTCAACCCATATTATTTAGCTTAGTCACCCTCTTGTCTCTTTCCAGCAGAGTCCTGTGTGGTTTTCTGTCACCAGTATCTTCCCTCAGACCTTGTAGGAGTCTCTGTTCTTGCTGCAATTTGCAAGGGAAGTTTTTATACATTGAGCAGATACAAGATACTTTAATTCCCTGATGAGCAGGCCACACTCTTACCCCTTCTGGAAGGAACTAGTTACGTGTTTGCAGCTATAACGGCCTACATAGTGAGATAAGGCCTATACGGAAAAATAACTTTTATCAGACCACAAAATAGGTTAGTAAAGCAAAAAATTTCCTTTTCATACCTGGGAGAGGGGAAAGCAGCTGGCAGAATGGAGGAATGACTGTTACTTTATGTAGCATTTGATCTAGTAAAAGCTGGTGCTTTTTTACATATCTTGCCATTCCTATAAAAAGAGTGTCAGATATTTTCAGGTATTATCCAGGTAGTTCCACAGTGATTTTTCTCTAATAATCCAAAGCCATATGCAGCTCTAAACAGGAAATGTTAATCTCTTGTTTCTAAGTTCATGACAAATCAATGAATTGTTGTAGATTGGGTATTTTCTCTGGTATTACCAGTCTCACGTACAAAATCTTTAAAAAAATTGTCAATGTTGTTCAAGTTCATGAACTTTACAGGTTGTTAGTGAGGATCATTCACACAACTTCAAAAGGGCCTGAGTTTGGGGGTTAGCAATTTTAACATATTAATATATGTGAACATATAATGAAATATATGTTAAATTAATATTTTAACATACCAATTTTTTTCATTTGGATCCTCATCCCTTAGGTTAATGTTGTTCATATCACAGCACTTCGGTATCAGTATCTTTTTAGGCTGGTGTAAAATAACCGCGAAGCAGTTCCAGATGCAATATTGGTGCAGGGTCAGGCCCCACGCCTGTGGGAGACTGTCTTAAAGCTTGTTTGCAGTTGTAGTGAGCTCTTTGCGAGACTTCTTGACGGTTTAACCAAGCTCAGCTGCTGTTAACAGATAAGGGACAAACAGCCAGCTGAAACGAGTTTCAACCAAGGTCAAAAACGGTCATGTCACTTTTGGGGATGGGCCTGAGCATGGGTGGCCACCCCAACCTGCCAATGCATGCACAGGCCACGGCAAATGATCATGCAGTAATCACGTGAGCTCCACAGCAGGACTGAGAGCATGCACAGGAATGTGGTAAGACTCCACAAAGGACTGTGTGATCAAACGGCTGGTGGGACCCTCATCACCAAAGTACAGAGACTACAGACCAACAGGATGCTGCTGGGTCCATAATGGTGACTATCTCTTGCAACTCTATCCATCCCGACTGTTGGCTAGATTTCTTTCCTTTCTATTTTCTCTCCCTTTCCTATTGCTATTTTCCTATTATAGTAAATAAATACTTGGTTTAGACAAGTAATCAATAAATTTCTTTGATTAGCGGCATTTGGCCTCTTCTGTCTTAATTTCACTCTGGGTATCACAGTGAATCTCCCCAGCTCGGGTCCTCCTCGAATGGGACAATTACCTTCTGTCTGGAAAGAGCTAATACCTTTCTTGTTGTATGCAGATGCATGCACCACTGCAAATGGGTCAGCAAATAGCTTCTACTAAGAATAGGTAGAGTACACTACTGATTACTCTTTCATCACTCTAGTGTTAAGGGTTTGGGAAATTGAGTTATATGAAATTAAATTGCCTGAAGTATAAGAAAAAGCAACAAGAAAACAGATCTTGGGATAGGTGTCAGTATTTTCAAACCAATAAATTCTAGTACAAAGACATAAAATTGTTTTTTGTTTTGTTGGGATTTTTTGTTTTGTGTTTTAAATTGAGGACAACTGTTACACACTACCACCAAAGGCAAAACCTGCCCTCTGAATGCCATGTAATTAATTCACAGGGTCAGGTACACAAATTTGGAGTTATTCCCTACCTTTTTCTAAGCAGACATCAACCTGTGCTTTTTCCTTCTGGGAAAAGAGGGCCAGAGTATTCAGGTACCACTGCACACAGGTTGCCCACATCGGTGACCTAATTCTTTAAATTTTACTCCCTGTGGCAAGTTCCATCTGTTTACACATGGAGAAATAGATCAATACATTACTTCAATACTGTAGTGATTTGATTCTGCCTTCTGTATGTATTTTATTTTCACTTGACATGCACTGCCTCCTTAGCTTTACAGGTATGTTTAAAAGTCTTTAAATTTTCATCAGAGTGCTACCAATGCAAAATACCAGTGCAAGATGAAGAGAATCAGAATACTTAAGCATGAAACATAAACATCCTTACAAGCTCCTCTACTCCTTGATGTTTGAAGCTTTATACCATTTCATGCATTAGAGAAAGAAATGTGTTCCAAGTTATTGATCATTAATACTGCTTAGCTGTAATCCCTCTTTCGTCACAGTTGAACCATTTGGTCACACACATACACAAAAACAGCCAACCACCCACCCACCCTACGTAACAAAAACAATAAACAAAAAAACCCTTGTAAGTGCACATGCTTTGGAGAAGATTCTTCCCAGGAGGCTCCATAGTCTATACAGGATTTCCCTTTGCAGTGTTAAATGACTGTTAAATGCCCGAACCACACCAAAACATTAAATGAAAAATTCTGCAGAGGTACGAAGCATAATTATAGAAATTGAAGTGCCAAATTCTGTTTTTGCCAATTCTGCAGGTTTGCTACCCTAAATCCTAGAAGAAATGTTATTACCACTAATTTTCATAAACTTTCAAAGTGACACCCGTGTAGTTTTTAAATACATCACTGCATCAAAGCATGAAACCTTTGATTGATGGTCACTGGTGTGTGTGGTCAAACCTCTGCTGCTAGGGAAATAAAGGAACCAGAACAGTTTCTAAAGTAACCTTAAAATGACTGCCCAACCTGAAATGTTTTTATGAAGCAATGGCTGTTGAGTATGTTCCACTGCCTTTTCTGCTCTAATTTCAAGATTCCTCTCTTCATTATAGACCTGATAGTAGATGAAGACAAAAAGAGATGCCATTTTATAGGGTGATTGTCATACCTCTTGAGATGCCTCTCAAGACCATCTCACGAAGGTCGAGAAATACCAGAACAGTAAGTCCTGTACAGATCAAGAACAGGTTGACAACTGCGATAGTTTTGAGAACAAAATATTTTATTCATCAATAAAACTATAGTTTACAGTAGTATTTGCTAAATAAATTATATAATTTCTCTTTTACAAGAAATAAACTAAAATCAAAAATATTTCAAAGACAATATATATACATAACATAAGGCCTTGTTATAAATAACATTTTGTTTTTCTCCTTTTCACCAGCAGTGACAGTTTCTTTAGAGGCTCATTTTCACATAGTATGTGCAGAGGTTTACCCTAACTCTTGTATGACATTGATTCCAATTTCCATTAATGTGGACCTAGGTGATTAGAACTGAAGGATCAAAACTAATGAAATTAATTTTTTTAATCACTGTGCTTATTTTTAATAGGTAAAGCAGACAATAGTGCATAGTTACAGAATGCATGCAAATGAAACCACTAGAGAGCTGATAAGAAAATATCACTTCCAAGTCCATAGAAGGTGATTGGCAATACAGTAGAAAGCAGCCTGAATACACAGTTCTTCACAGTTCAGCAAGCAACAGCAGATGATAGCAGAGTGTGGAATGTTTCACGTCATTTTCACCAAGTCCATCAATCCTTTCAAAGATCTTGACACTTCTTAGAATGAATCCAGTTGATTATTTCTCTTCATCTGTTAGGCTCAGAAAATTCGTCCTTCTTAAATGAGGATTGCAGAAAGTGCTCTTCATTAACCTTGGCCACATCTCTTAGTTTTACTCTTTGTGTATTCTTTCTTACTAGAAATACAGAAATTACAAGCAAAGTCAGGAGTTGTGTTTGTTTTCTTACAGAATTATGAACAGGTAACATGATTCTTCCCCTAGACAGACTGCAGCACATTTTGGCAGTGATTCTTTTCTTACCTTGCCCCTAATCAAAAGTATTGGGTGTCTCTTCTTGTACCACTGGTAACTCCTACAGCTTTACAGACACTGCAGTACACTTGTGATACATGAAATGGAGCTAACTGATTGCTGCTGCGAAGTGCTGAACACACTGGCCATCAGAGAAGACAGTCCAAACTGAGAGCACTCAGCAGTTCGCAACAGCTTTTATTACCTTGTAGAACTGACTGGGGCCTATGTAACTTCAAAGTGTTAGGGCAAAACAGCAGTCTTTGTAGATCACGTGTGAAAGTCCCGTTAGGTTCCGCATGATGCCCTTTCCCAGTTGAAAATCATACCTAATCAAAACCTTTCAGGCACAACTAATGTTCTAATCATGTTCATTCTATTTCACAAAAACCCCACGTAATAATGTTAATCAATTCGAGTTTTCTACAGCATCTCCTACAGAAGCAGTGGTTATGCAATACAAATAGTTGATCATTTCTTGGCATGTAGTGATAGGATGAGGAGGAATAGCTTTAAACTGAAAGAAGGCAGATTTGAATTAGGTATTAGGAAAAAATTCTTCACTATGAGGGTGGTGAGGCACTGGCACAGGTTGCCCAGAGAAGCTGTGGCTGCCCCATCCCTGGCAGTGTTCAAGGCCAGGTTGGACAAGGCTTTGAGCAACCTGGTCTAGTGAAAGGTGTCCCTGCCTGTGGCAGAGGGTTTGGAACTTTATGGTCCCTTCCAACCCAAATTATTCCATGATTCTATGATTCTTAGCATCTCAATGGATTCAGAGATGAAGAGAAACTAGTCTTTGCTGAACACCTTATCACTATGACTCAAACTAAGGGTAAACTGACAGCTGAACAAAATACTGCAGTAGACTGAGTGCATCCCAGCTAATATATCCAACATGGAGCATCAAATCAAAGACATCTGTAATGACCTTACTCTAAAACCTTATGAAAAATGTAATGAAGGCATAAGTTCTCATTTATAAAACAGACTTTTAAGGTCACCTTTAAATTGTGCTTTTTGATACAAGCATTTAACTAACCTTTAAATAGTTCAACAGCAATCTAATCTTGACTATGAAAAACAACAGAAAAACCATCCAAAGGCATTTTTAAAACTTATCCTAGAGAAAGGTAACTAGTAGATTTAAATCAATATTTTAGTTATAACTTCTAGCACCAGACCTTCAACCTTGAAGAATGATATTTCATTATTGTTCTGTGGCAACCTTTAAAGCTGTTACTGTATTGTGCACCAGTGTTAGGGTGTTCATAATCACTGATGCTAGTGAGCACAGTGCTGATTTCTTAGAGGCCTTTCTCTCTCTCTAGGTAGCTGTGGTCTCGCAGTGAAAGCCTATCCACTGCTATGTTAGCACCTGAATGTGCTAACAGAGCAAAGCAGTATATACTTGCAGGATACAGAACACTTTAATATGCAAAATGAAACTGATGGATGAGTAAAACTGAAGGAATATTTTAAAAAGAATATGACATAAGGATAAGAAGGATTAAAAAAAAAATTAAAGAATCAGTTTGGCAAAAAAAAAAAAATTGAAAAATGCTAATGCCAATAAACAAAATAATGTTTTATGAAGCCAAGATAAATGAGTCAAAATTAGTACTAGCAGCATCTAGTTTCTGGCGGAAAGCTCAAATCAGAATGACCAGTTCAATTTTTCACAGACATAATGGTCATTCAGCACAACTTCAGATCCTCTGGCCTCATCACTACTTTCTACTCTCAAAGGAGACTAGCAGTATTGCTGATGCTGGCTTTATACTATTCCACTAATTACATAATGTATTTATGATCAGTTTATTCTTGCTGTCTTTCCTCTGGTCCTTCCAGAGTATTTCAGAAGGATCAGTAATGGAAAAAATATCAGCAAAATTTGCATAAGAGAGTTGGAGAAAACAGACCTGACAGAAACTTGTATCAGCTGCTAACTGTGTGAGTCAGTCACAGAAACATTGTTCATGGTACAGATGCCATTTTAAGGAGGTGGGATTTTCAGATGTTCAACTCTGTGTCAGGTACAGTCCAGTTCTGTGCATACTATTCTGGAAAAAGCCCATCTATTTTGAGGTGCAGGATATGATCCTCTAAGCAACTGTGTAACCGCTGCACAACTTTGAGGTTATTTTCATTGCAGATATAAGAAACATTATTTTGTGATAAAAACTGAGTTTGGCTGTATAATTTGGTCCAAAATGATAAATAATGAACAAATGACACTACAGGATGCATTCCTGTAATGACTGAGATGTCTCAGACTGGGTATATAAGGGATTTACAGTGTTTAAGCCTGCTGGAGGCTTGTATCAGAACATTTTTGTGCTCCAGTTCTCTTTTCATGGGTATGGTTTTGATGTGATTGATTTCCTCATATGCTACATTAAAGGCCTTGGGCATTAGAATATGTAGTTATGGTGGAAGTACAATCCCCTAGCCAAAGTTTTATCGGAGTTTGAATATGAACTAGGAAATGCTCAAAGAGACAGGCTTTAATAAAGAACTACAAGAGTGAGAACAGAAGAAAAGATGAAGAACACTGAAAAGTAAGACCACCCAGACAGTTTGACAGCTTCTAAACAGCATTTTATAGACCAATATTTGTAAATCTGCTTATCTGTGCATCTACAGCAGCTTTGAAATGCAAAAATAATCTCCAGTGATGTTTTAGGACTTCAGAATCCTATAATAAAATTCATATTTGGACATAAACCACAACATTAAGTAATTCTAAATGTAATAATATTATCTATGCAATTCACGTGACACAAGTCATAGCTACACTAACCAGACTCCAAATACACTGGGCTTGCACATCGCTACAGTTGTTCCATTCTTTTATTTCACTGAAGTCTTTATCAATCATTTGCAGCTGTATTTTCAGTGGTAGTGACTTCTGAATTATATACAGATTTTGTGAGCCCTTTGTTCAATAACAGGAGGCAATGCTGTATTTCTATGTAACAATTTCTGTATGACATCAGAACCTTCCATTATAGTTAAATATACAGAAGTATTCTTCAAGCAAAATAGTTCTTTAATGAAATCCTATATCAAGGGCATATATTTATTTATTTAAATCCTATGTTTACCACCAGATGACTTAAGATGTGCAGCACCACAATGCAGCAAACTTCAGAATTTATTACTGTGCTATTTATATGCATATTTTTGTTCCATTGTAAGTGTAAAGGAAATTAAGCCTATTTGCAGTGAACTAATTAAAATAATTTTTAAGCTTTACTACTCTGATTTTACTGGTATTGTAGTTTGTCAGAATAATATGTCAGTTACTTTTATAAGTAATTTCAGGGATAGGCTAAGCAAACACAGTGAGGTAGTTCATAACTGCACATGTTGCTTTTTCAGGGACAGAAAGCTCAGTCAAAGAATTTGGGATTCACTGCAGAACAGAAGGCACAAGGTGACTTTTAAGTTATTCCTTACTTTCTAAGTGAAATTACCACTTCCAAGCTCCTCCATTTTAGGTACCAGTCCTTAATAACAGTGGACTAAGGTCTTCAGGATCAGCTGCACTTGCTGATACCTGTTAAGAAACTTTTGCAGGACTGGGTTTATATTACCTACTAATCAAGTTCCATAGAACACAGTACACTTTTGTGTTCAACAGTGTTTGCTGGTATTTAATGGTTTTCTGCTTATATATCAGCTGATGATGCTGATAAACTACGTTTGTTTTCAGAGTAAGAAGGAAACACTAATTTACTCTGCTTTTTTGTGGTGTTTTGGTTTTTTGGGTTTGGTTTTTTTTTTTATATGCTTGTTTGTTTTGGGGGATTGTATGTTTTGGGGTTTTTTTGTGGATTTCTACATGAAAGTGCTAAATACTAAATAAAAGAATGTTACCTTCTCTATTGCTGGCTTACATCCAGGACACTTTCTTTTTATCTCAGATTGCATCTGTTGCTTCTAAGTACCTGATCCATCATTGTATTACATATTCATAAAGGAAGAACTCTTTAATGTTTTAATTCTCTGCAGAGAAACATTGCAAATTTCCAACCACTTTACATATCTGCTTATATCTTGCTGCATTTTTTAATTAAAAATTAAAATTCTTTTTATGGAATATTCGGGGTTTTTTTCCCACTGTATGGTGCTAGAATATTTGGAAATAATTTAGATTGGCTTATTCTTAGTGCTCAGTGCAGATCATGGCTAGTCATATTTTATTGATAAAAGCTAGATTTCTTAAGTTATTATCTGGGTTAAAAGACTTACGAGAAAATAAACCAATGGAGTTTTAAAGTACACTTGGATTTGAGGATGTTCCTAACAGTTCTGCTTAGAGTGGCAGGTTCACAAAATGCAGGTTTGCTGAACCTGGTCTTTGTTCAGAACTGAGGAACTCTGGGCCCAGACCAGCCCTTCAGTTGCAAACTCAAGATGTCTGTGTACCAGTGCCCTGGAACAAAAATTACTGCTGTTACCAGGTAAAATCTCAATTTTGACATTAGCTGCACAGTGTGAGTTTGCACAGTGTTCCATTAATGTAACACCCCAAACCCAATGCTATTACCTGTAGGAACTTCTTTTTACAATCTCTGCTCTACCCTTCCTTACTTGCTTTTCTGAATTTCTACACAGCACTGTTCCAAAAAATGCCATTTTTTCTACTTTTTTTTTTTTTTTTTAATGGTAGGTTAACACAGTGCTATTTTACTACAATAGTTTGGGGTTTTTTCTTTTTTCATTCATTCATGGGATCAAAAATTCATAGCCCTTAATTTACTCGAGGACTAAAATTTCTCCAAGAAGCAGAAGACAAGGACATCAAAGGATTAGCAAAGTGACTGAAAATAAGCAAGTTAAGATATTTTTTCATTATATAACCATGCCAGCACACTGAACATTTATTACAAACCTCATGAACTGACTTCCCTTCTTGATGCTTCCTCTCTAGTACAGTTCTTGCCACAAAAGTCACAGGCATTTATTTATGAAAATAGAAAATATTGCTAGGATAATACCAGAATGTTCAATTTGTGCTTTAGAAACCCAAACCTTTGTGGGAAAAAACTTAACATCGCTCCCTCCCATACTTATATTGAGACTTTCAAAACGGCCTAAAAAGGTCAGGTGCACAAAACTTCACTCAACTGTAACTCAGGTTGGGTGCCTACGTCCTTGGTACCTGTTGAATGTGAACTGTAGATACCAAGGGAATTTATAACACATGGGTGATATGAAGACGAACAAAGATACAGACTTGAGCTTATCTTTCAGCAGTCACATGCACTGCTCACTAGGAACCAAAACAGAAAAGATATATTTTTAATCATATTCCAGCTACCACAACTGGACAACCATTCACAGCAGAAATGTGAGCCATTCATGCACTTCATGGTTAGCTCTACTTCACTGGCTTCAAAATCAGGGATATAAACACAGAACTTCACTTGCTGAAAAAAATTAATTTCTACATTGTGGAATACTGGAATATTCAACATGGAAAGATTTTTTTTTTTTTTAATTTTTTGTTTCTTTGTTTGCTTCTCCCTCCCTCCTCCCCCCATCATATGGAAAACAAATAATAGGAAAAGAAATCCTACCACTAGAGAAAAACTGAAAGGCATTTTGGCATACTTCATTATTAACACAATTAATAGGCATGTAGCTTCTTTAAGGATTTGCTTTGGCAACGTACTTAGGCATATGTCCCATTTAATAAATACCTCAATGAACCCCTGCATCTTGAAGTGAAGCATGTATTTTAGTTACCTGCTGAGCCACAGTCAAAGGAATTTCAGGCGAAAAAGCTCATCAGAAAGAGTCTGACAACTTACTAAGTAGACATCCAGAACTGAAGCATTATCATTTTCCGTTTCCAGGGTGCTCTGTTCTGAAGTCAAATAGATGGCACTGTCTTCTAAAGTGAATGTTGAACTCGAAGGCAAAGAGCTCTTACTGCAAAGAGAAGGGAGACTACAGTGAACCAAAAATATAAGTTACAGAGAGCTCAGCTGTAGCTGTAAATTTTAAATTAAGTTTCTCTCAAACGTAAAAGCTTCAAATACTTGAAAAGAAGGAATGTAAATGGACAAGTGTGGGTATGTTGACAATGGCTAGGTAATTGGCAGCTCATATTTGACTTTCATATACAAACCACAGTTTCTATCTTTTCATTAACTAAAATTTTATTAGGAACTAATGCTGTTCCTGAACTCTGATACTTATTTAAAGAATGAATCTATGTCACAGTAAATGTGGGATAATTTCATTATTTTCAAAGTAAGTTTGAAATTACACATCATCTAAATTCTGTCAGCATTTCTTAATATAAAATAGGGGGGGAAAAATCAGTCATTAGGCACAGTAGCATATGGCTTTCTCATGCAGTACGGTATCACTTGTATATAACCGTTCAAAAGGGAAAGTGGGAAAAGAACAGGAGTGTACTTTAAATAGTACAGCTCTGCAAGGAAGTAGTATTTACAGAGCAGGTGCACTGCATGATTTAATTCATAGATTTGATTGTTATCTCCTATTCAGAAAGAATGTGAAAGGGCACAGGAATCCTGCTTTATTTTGTAAACACACTTGGAACCACAAAGCTGAAACTTTTAATGTGTTTTAATGGATTTAGGTGCCCATTATCCCTTGCCCTCACTAGCTGCCAGAAACTAACAGACTCCAGGCTGCCTTGAAAACTCAGCTGTAATTTTTGCAGAGATATATTTTAAGTTCTTACCTATTTACACATAAGGTGAAAAACAAACAATTCTACCTTATAACTGGGTATGAAAACATAGTTACAGCCATCTGTCCAGAAATGGCTGATTTCCCCCTCCCTTTGCAATACTTTGTATTTTATGTTTCACCTGGGGTATAACTTCAGAAAGGGCAAAGCTAGCATGCAAAGTAGAAAACAAATTCAAATGCTCAACAAAATAATGAATCATCAGTCACCCTTATGTCATATTAGTATTACGTTCACCACATTACAATGTTCTTTTTAATATATAGTGTATTAGGCATCTTTTCAGTTGTAAGACTATTTTTTTTGTTCCGAGGGTGATCCAGGTCCCACTGACTTGGTATTACTTTCTCACATTCATTACTAATATTCTATCAAGCAACTTTTTGGTCACATCAGTTTTTTGCCAATGCTTCATTTTACTGAAGGGGGGAGGACAGACAGGAAGGGAATAAATGGGCTGTTTCTATATGGAGACTATGTGTTATCACAAAATAAGCTCTGCCACCAAAGATACTACTCTTGGCAAAAGGGAAGGGTGAGGGGAGGAGAGAGTCACTTTTGCTTGCAGAATTTTGACCTCTGCTGTTGCACAGGTTAGGCCTCTGATTGTGCAAAGGCCCATGTATGAAAACCACATGACATACATGCACAGTGAGCAACCGCTACTGCTATGAAAATATGCAAACCCAGGGGCTATCCGTTCCTTGTGGAAAACAGTGCTCTGCATTACTAAAGCAAGTTGAGCACGCTGTGGTGTATACCTGGCTTTTGTTTCTGCATCAGCTTTGGTTTAGAAGCAAAAAAACTTGAAATAGTTATTCCTTTCAAATACATATTGGGACACATCACTGTCACCTTTACTGCTGTTATAACTAACTTCTTTCACATTCAGAAAATCTCTGGACCCTGTACGCAAGATGAGGTGAGGATCCTGCAGTTAACACTAGTGGCTTTTTATGTTTTACATCCTGCATGTATCAGAAGACTACGACCTACTCCTTGTACTATTGTTTACTTTTCTTCCTCTCTTCTGTTCTTTTCCATTAGAAGGCATGGCGCTTCTTTTTTGCTCTTAGTTTATTACATTATAATCTATGTTGCTTCACAGCCTGCTGTGGATAGCAAACAATAGCAATGTGAGCTCAGCACTTGGTTTTGGGATTCTTAAACTACTGGGTTTTAGCTATAACACAGAATAAAGACAAAATTATCTCCCCTTTGGAGTGTGCCTCTTTTTTCCTCTCACCTGTTACAGAAATACACTATACAGTCAGGCAGAAAATGAGGGTTGAAGCAAATCCAGCATGTTAAGAGAAGTCAAAGAGAAACTCCTATAAATGTCACAATTTGGCTATTTAGTAGTAAACTTCCTAAGAAAAAAATTAATATAGAGATACAAATAATATATAAAATATGTATGTTAACATACAGAAATAAATGGGAGAAAGGGGACAGAAGAAAGTACAAAGGTATAGTAATTCACATACAGAAAACCAGCAGTGGCTGAAGTCCCTTGAACATTAGGCATGAAAGAAGAGAATGAAACAAAGCAGGTATCAATCCACCATTTTTCTTACAGTCAAAGGATCCACAACTTATTTGCAGATAGCAATCTCCTTGCTGCTGTGACTTTCACATTGAATAATTAGAGATAAACTCTGCAAGTAAGGCTCATCTGTGCATGAAGAATTATTAAAAGGAAAACAGTAGGAAAACTGTTGCAAGACAGCTTTCTTGCATACACTTTACATTCAGGAACAGGAGGTTTTTCTCTATTTAAAAGAACACTGTCCACTTTGGGAAATGTTTTCTTCATGGAAAAGCAAATATGCCTCATCCTGATGTGTCTACTTGCAAGGCAGCCCATAGGACAGGTAGAACTCTTCAGTCTCCTTTCCAAGTGATTGCACAGCCTTTGAAGAATGGCAGAAAAAGTGCCAGGTAGCAACAACTGACCGAAGCAGAAGTTCGATCTGTGTTTCAGTTGTCTGTTGTGATGGTTTTTGTGGGATTTTTTTTTTGCTGTGCTTTTTTTTTTTGTGTGTGTGTGGTTTTTTTTCTTCCCCTCCTGCAGTTTGAAGAACAGCTCTTGTAGGAATATAATTATGAGATTTTTTCAGAGAATGCCAAAATACAACAGGCATGAATTAGAATAAGCCACTGTGTCTCCCTGGACGTGACGAGTTGTAATAAAAACAGGCTTTGATGTTTAACTTTGGATGTCAAACATGCTCTCCTATAGCATATCCCACAATATTTATCCCCTAAATAGCAGCACATTTGCAATGTCCAATGTGTTTTAAAACTCTTATATAAGCTTTTGAAAAAAATTATCAGCCTGTTGCATCACAAGTTTTGGTCTTTCAAATCTCTGCATATAGAAGTTGGTCAGAAAAATGTCTTTTAGGACAAATGAGCAGTAAAACTATTGTTCTAAGGTACAACTCAGTATCAACTGTTGCAGAAAATTTGTTCTGCATACATATAAATGTGAACAGGGAGAACAGGTATTAATGGACCTGTTGAACTAAATGCATTAATTAATCCAGTGTTTACAATGGTGAAGTATTATATAACTTCTAAAGCATTTCAGTTTGTAAATTACATGTCTGTCAAAAAAAAAAAAAAAAAAGGTAGGTCAAACATAGTAAAACTCCCTTGTAATATTTCAATAACACTGTTGAGAAGCATCAAAACCACAGACCTGAGAAAACAACAGATACCTCTCATCTTCTAAATACTGCTTCAATGGAAGGAGTCTGACAGTGAATCTGTTACATTCTCTTTAATGGCAAACCATGACACGTGAATCAGTAAAGATCACAATAAGCCCATGAATTTTCCCATGACTAACAAACCTATCCACCTTGTAGGTGTCAATTAAAATCATGAGACCTGTCATTTTTGTACCTGATGTACGTTTGTAGTCAAAAAGAGATGGTGTAAGCAATCAGAATTTAGGAACACAGTCTAGATTATGAAATACTAACTAGTAACAGCCAAATCCACCAACAGGTACACACGAACATCTATCAGCCCGTGGAGGGATGTACACTTGAAGTCTGTTCTGAGAAGCTGCTCTGGATCCTCCTCACCAGAAAAAGATAAGGTAATGAAATTAGACTTAGAAGGATGAGTATGGAATATGAAAAGCTGCATGCAGAGGGGCAAATTCAGTCAAGGAAACATTTGCTTGCTTATGTATTAAATAACTACTATTACCACTGGAGTTTAACATTTAACATAACACTGTGTATTTAACTGAACAATAATTTTAAATTTCAAGTACAAAAAAAAAAAAAATCAGCTTTTTTTTCTCTTATCAATAACCACATTGTTTCCAACTTTTTCTAAATTAAATGAGTTGAAACTGACATGCACATAGAACTTCTGCACAAGAGTAAAAAAATAATATCATAATTAATCTCTTGGCAGCAACACACATGCTGCCAGCAGACGTTAACTGAAAGTTCAAATTTCTGCAACAGCATCATCATAGTGGCATTGATCACCAGTTTTTATGCAGGCTTCTGGTAGGGCAAACACAAATTGGAGGAGAGGAAGGGGGAAAGCACAGGAGAGAACAAGAGAAATCCCTACATACATAGTTTATCAGAAAGAGCAGTTTGGTGGAACACAGGTTTTGAACAATTTCAACAGTGCACTGAGTTCTCATCCTTAATATTTAGACTGAAAAAGAAAGAAAAGCTAAGAAAAAAAAATTATGATTGCCCACAATGAATGTGCTCAACTGTGCTGTTGCCCTCCTCTTGGTAAAGCAGTCTATTTTATCTTGCTTCTTAATTAAAAAAAGAAAAAAGGATGCAAAAGTAATTCCATCACGGAAGAACTGGGAAAGCCTTGTTTTTGTTTAAGTCACAACTACAGGTTACTTCAATCATAGTAAAATTTTCTTTCTTTCCCATGGGGACTTCCCCTGTGTCTCAGTGTATCTGCTTCTAGGATGAGAGCACTCAAGTCTTTTTCCTCTCCTTAGCTGTTTATTTTCATGAAGTTTGCATGAATTTAATCTACTCTGAATCACATTCAGACAAATTGGTCTAAGCTTCATAAGCTAAGGGTGGTGGTGAACAGACATTTAAGCTTGACGCAAAAGATTGTGCATAGAAAACCAGACTGGCCAAAGGTGTGATTAAGTATTCCTTACAACAGAAAAACTAATACCTATAAATCCCTTCCACTGACAAAAACAGCAGAAAATTTTACTTGTATTTTATAAGCTGTCTTTGAAAAGTTTGCTTGATAGAATGCAAGTCATGGGACATTTCAGTTTAAAGTCTGAACATTTTAGGAAGCTTTGCCTGTGTAAGAATAAAACCCCACAACTCAAAGCTTTCCTAACCTGCAAGTGGTATCCACTGAAAAACAGCAGTGCAAAGGTATGGCAACAAATAATTGAAAAGTAAACAGAAAGCAGAAAGAATAGGAAAGAGAAGGCAGAAGTCCATAACATTTTACAGAATAGAGATACAGCATGCATAAAGAGAAACAAGAATTAGATTTCATATAGATTATTTTCATAGGCTCAAATGTATCAGAACTCTTAAGTCCTCGTTCTACAACCCTCATTATCTTGGCATTTATCTAAAGATACAGAGGTGAAGTACCCCTTTATGCATCATGGGATTTTGTTTGGATTTGTGACTGGAAGCCATGAGACCTGCTGAAAGATACACTGGAGAGAGACTTCTGTTGAATCTTGAAACTCCAGTTTAAAACATTTCCAGATGCACCTGTAAAGCATTCACTTCCTTCAGCTCTTTGCAATTGTAAAAGTAATGTCAGCTGAGACAACAGGCATACAGCTCAGGACATTCAGATCTGTCATCTTTAATTCATGAGTACTTACTAGGAGAACTCTACCTGGAGGGCGTAAAAATCTGTTGTCACTTCTGCTATAAAAATAATCCCTGATATATCAACCTTCCTCGCATGATACAGCCTCAGGAGCTGTCTCTGACTCAGCAACACCTCTGATTGCTTAACCACATGGGTTGCAGTTTCTTGCTTCATACCATGAGTGCAGAGCACCCTCAAGGAGAGATGGTGCTGAGCTCCTTTCTCATACAAAATGCCATTTCCCCCTCCTTCAAGCATAATTACCTTCATGGTTGGTAGAAACAGAGGGTAATTTAAAAAAACAAAACAAAACAGTTAAACATAATGCATCTGCTTTGGCGTATCCAAAAGTATTACTGCTCTCTTTTGAACAAGGCAAATAACAGCACCTGTCCTCTCACTGCCATAGGCACATACTGCTCATTAGCATTAATAGAAATTAATGAGCTATAGAGATTCTGTATTACTACTATGCACGCAGGATTATCTCCCTTTAATACCCTAAGCCAGAGGTTTCTGACTGGTTATAAGAAATTTGTATACTCTCTACCTTATGCCAGGAGACTGAAAGAGAAGGAAAAAGCCCAATGAATATGATGCCAAAATAATTCTATTAAATAATCTGAAGCAGAATGTCATAGTTAATTACATATTTAAAGACTGAAAGCAGGTTCACATTTTTAAACAAATAATTCATTCAGGCTTTGTTTCAAAGATTGCTCCAGGCTTTCTGTTCATCAGAGACAAATGGCAAAGTGATGAGTCCTGCATTACACTATTTGTAATACTCACAAGCAAAATTCCAGCAAGAAGAATCTAAGATAGCTACAACTCAATGTAGAGTTGTAGCATGTTTTGGTTTTGGGAGTTTTTTTGTTGGGTTTTTTTTTTGTGTGTGTGTGTGTTTTTATTTCCCTGCCAGTTTTTCTCATTGAAGGACTGAAGTCCCTCCAATGTACCATAAAAGCATAAACAAAACTTCAGCTGGATATATTATTTAGAGTCATGAAGAAGGAAGAAGTATGTTGTACTGATGCAGAAGCAGAGGTGGGTACAAAACTGCAAGTGTCCAGAATAATCTTGGGGAAATTATTTTAAGGCAGAGCATGCTTAGCAGCTTTCTCAAATCCTAAATGAAAGCCACTAGCTATGACAGGGAAGCCAATCTTCAACTAATCTTCAATTCATGACAGGGAAGTAGAAGTACGTACATGAATTATACCTACTGGTGAGACATAAACCAGTACTTGGTAAGAAGAAAAGCTGAGGAGCATATACCTAGACAAGCAAGGATATTAGTTGGTCAGCCCCCATGGCAGAATTCCTGACTACTAAAGGTTCTTTTTTTTTGGACACAAGACATAGAAAAAGCCACCTTTCTCCTGGATTGCATTAAAGGAGCATGACCAGCAGGTTGAGGGAGGTGATTCTCCCCCTCTACTCTGCTCTCGTGAGACCCCCACCTGCCGTACTGCATCCAACTCGGAGGCCCCCAACACAAGGGGGATGTGGACCTGCTCGAGTGAGTCCAGAAGAGGGCCATGAAGGTGACCAGGAGGCTGGAGCACCTCTCTTATAAAGACAGGCTGAGAGAATTGGGTTTGTTCAGCTTGAGAAAGATAAGGCTCCAGGGAGACCTTAGAGCAGCCTTCCAGTACTTAAAAAGCAGGCCTAAAAGAAAGCTGGAGAAGGACTTTTTACAAGGGCATGTATTCTCAGAACAAGAGGGAATGGCTTTAAACTGATAGAGGTGAGATTTAGGTTAGATATTAGGAAAAAATTCTTCACTGTCAGTATGGTGAGACACTGGAATAGGTTGCCCAGAGAAGTTGTGGATGATCTTTAAGGTGCGTTCCAACCTTAAGCTATGATTCTGTGATCTATGAATGCTGGTGCAGTCTGCTGTGTTAGAGCATGTGTTCTGTTTTACTGATTAAAGTATGCAAACATGAATTGAAGCCACTACAGTTACAATCTGATTTTTGTAAGATAAAGATGTGCAGTGTAATCGCATTACTGAAAACACACACTACATTTTAGGTTATTTCATTGACTGAATCACAACTGAAGAGTAAGCAAGTCTAAACATACAATCAAAGTATAGATCTACCACGAACCTTCTTTATTTTAAAATTATTTTTTAATAACTTTACAGGAAAATATAATAGAGTATTTGAAATGTTTCATTTACAGTAAATCTGAACTCTATCCAGACAACTCCACAGTTCTCCTTTGCTGACAGATGCTAATGCAAAGTAGTTCTATAGTTTTATTTGGTGCTTAAAGCAAATAAAAAATCCCACTACTCTATAACTTTATTTCTAGTGAAGCTAAAACTTGGTAAAAGATCATGGAATACTGAAGTCCTACAGCTAACTTTGTCACAACCTGGACAAGACTGACAGAAGTTGAATTAAAGGAGCTGCATTTCTATTAACATGTATTCACTAGTAATTTTATTTCCTAAAGCCTGTATAGATGCATTTTGGAACAACTTGTGATGGTTCTGTAACTAAAAGTTCATCTTTGTTACACTCCAAACCACGCCTCATTTGAAATTTTTATAGCAAAACATCAGACCTATGGAAGATGCCACATACATGAGACTCATTTCAACTTAATGAAAATGGAAGCTGCCAATATTACATTGATCAAGTCAACTTACTTCTTACGAAAATGCAGATAGTCAAATTAAATATAAAGTAAAATCCTTCTGCCTCAAGATTGCTTTTAAAGCAACTTGATGATTTTGGACAACATGCAGTTTACAGTAAAGAACTCAGCACATGGGTAAGTCTATCAAATTTATACACACACAGTGTAGTTCAGGATTCCAAATTATTTAAAACAAAATTCAAGGTACTTGAGTTCACAATGGTTACCTTCTTGACAAAAACACAAAGAAATGGCTGTCCAGCAGTACAACATATGGTAAAGAGATCTGCAAGCAGGCAAGACAACACAACACAGCACACTTCAGGTGTGCAAGGTAAAACACAGGCATACACCCAGACAATCTCCCAGCGAGACTTACTGGTATACGCATGTTGTCAGACAGTCATGGCTAATATATTCAAACACAAGTCAAATCATAGTCAATCTAGTTCATAAACATCTGCACAACTTCTGTTGAGATTTTCTTGGGTTTATCCTTCCTGGGTCAAAATCAGACAGGCTCTAACCACACCAATGAGTGAAATTTCATAGAATCATAGAATGGTTTGGGTTGGAAGGGACCTTAAAACTCATCTAGTTCCAACCCCCTGCCATGGGCAGGAACACCTTCCACTAGACCAAGTTGCTCAAGGCCCTGTCCAACCTGGCCTTGAACACTGTCAGGACTGCAGCATCCACAAGTTCCCTCGGCAACCTGTTCCAATGCCTCACCAACCTTAAAGAATTTTTTTCCTAATATCTAATCTTCCCTCTGTCAGTTTAAAGCCATTCCTCCTTGTCCTGTCACTACATGCCCATGTTTCATATAAATTCATTTCAGAAAACGATCATTTTGAAAGAACTTAGAGCAGACCATTCAGAACTGTACATTCAGAATAAAGATCAACTTGAAAGCAGGTCTCTTTTCCTAGCACATCACAGCTTTCTGAAGCTGCTTTAGGCTACAGACAAGTTACAGTAAGTATTTCCTACTCTGATATTAATGTAGTTTGGTTTATGGCACAGACTAAGGCCTAAGTAAGTTTTTAATGCCCAGGTTAGTTTTGGAACACGACAAAAAATACGAAGTGTATTATTAACATTTTTTGTTGTGCTTACCTTTTCTCATTTGTGACCCCAATCATAACACATAACAAACAAATACATAACAAATTCTATGGGCTTCTAGAACCCTTCCTTCACTGGAGAGGTTCAAGAATGAGCTACTGAGGCACTTGCCCCTTCTACTTTTTCTTTCATAGAGCCCCCTCCTATTGCACCCATGGTCAGACTTAGCAAAATAGTGGTGAATCCTCTACCACATATACAGCCTTTACCTGCTAGAATAGAGCAGAGGTTGATCACGTTGACAATGCTCATCTACATTCAAGGAAGAAGAAGAAATTGTGGTTGCCAGGGAAGTCGCTTCAAACAGAGATTGAGTGCTTGGCACTAGATCTGGCCGGTGGTGTGAACCTAGTACTGCACACACAAAAATAAGGAACAGCATTGAAAACTTCATTTCAAACTGAATCCAAGAATCTATATAAGTGTGTGGCACCTCATAGTCTCAAGCTGTCTCAACAGCTTTTCGGAGCTTCTTGTAACATTTGAATTGATGAGACTGTAATATTCATATGGTTATACCCACAATCATTTGCATTACAGGGTGAGATTCAGTTTTTAGCTAGTATGTTCAGCAGAATACAGAGCAACACCAAGGTCAAATATTAAAAATATTTAAGTAGTATGAATATCTGATGAAATCTAAGTTCTGTGACTAGTCTCACACTACAAGAGGTCCAATTCTCAGGTGGGGCTAGGCAGCTGGTTCTCCTTTGAGCGTGGGTGCAGGTGAGCTCTGAAAGGTTCAAAGACTGTATCTCCTCAAATAGACTCTGGGAACAATGACCTGAACTTCAAAATACTTCATGTGATATGTTTGCTCAAAAGCAAGTGAAAACAATAGGACTGGCTCTGGCCTTAATCTGCTACCTAGGGTAGATAAATTCTTTCAGGAGCCCCCAAAATCCAAAAGATTAACATCATGCTATAACCTTGATTCTGACTTCCTCTTGCTCCTGAAGGTCCACTCTACCATATGACCAAAAACTGTCTCCATGAGAATAACCTGAGTGAAGTTTTGAAAGATGAGCCAGACTGGAAGCTTTCTAGTTATAGGGCTTCTACAGTTTATATTAAATTCCTTTAGAAACATTGTTTAGGCTGTGGATTTGAAACACATTACCTTCTTCATCAAGGCTGGCACAGCTTTGTCCTTCAGCAAGAATGCCATGCTTTTCATCCTTCCACTCTTGGCTAATGGCACACACTATTTCTTGTGATGTTGCCTTCAAAGCCGTGATGGAGTTACACCGTTTCTTTGAAGGTGAAGACTTTAAAGCTGCATTACCAAATGAACATCTTTAACAGCTTATAGAAGAGAAAGCCATCTATAAAGCTAGACTTTCTGAATACACATGAAAAACACATCCAGATAGAAACCAAATTATTCAACGTTATGTTAAAACAAGAGCCAAAGGCATTGTTATATCATGTGTGAGTGAAGTACTTTTATCTTTCTGGGGTTCCTTACTGCTCATGGCAGGGGGGGGGGGGGGGCAGGGCAAATTGTGTCAGTTAACCAGCTTTGCTATCACTGAGTTACAAATCTCCTATGAAGTATCAACCCATGTACTCAGAGACAGAATGATACATGAAAAAAATTAAGAAGAAAACTGAAAAGACATTTGGAGTATTCTGAGAAGTTATGATCATTTTCTTAAGCTGTGAACTACTGCTATTATAATGATGTATGTGCTACTGCAGATTTTCTACTTCAGTTACATGTCAAACATCTCCCTTGGGTACAATAAAGACTTCCAAAATGTTGATGGCTTGTAAACTCACTTATGAGCATTCCCTTTATAATTCTTACTATGCCTAACTACTTACAATGGCATTTTGGATGAAACTTTAGGATCTGACCATCTCCACTACTACCATGACCCCCATTTGTAGTAGTTCTTAAAGATGTCAGCCAGTTCATTTAGTGTTTTCCAATTACCAGCTGTTAACCTCCATGCATTGGTTGCAAAGTTACTTGAAATGCACTGCAGTAGTGCATACTGTGCTCTACTACAGAGTTCAAACTAAAAGCATCAAAGCCACTTGGCTAAAGACTGAAGAAGAGAATCAGATGCATAGCACCAGGATGTTGTTAAAAAATAACATAGTGCTGAGCTAGCCTCTGCCCAAGGCTGAATCTGCTTTTTATGCTGTTATTGTTATTTATGGAGGCTTTTTCTGTGCACCAGAGGAAGAAGCATAGATTCAGGACAGGGCTTAAGAGTTTAAACTGAAATGTCTAATTGAAATTTAGAACCAATGTTCCCCTGAAGGCAGGAAGACTCCCAATTCTTTATTTTACAAAATAATCATAATGCATTTAAACCTTTAATGTAGCTATACAGAAGTACTTTAATAGCCTTGTATGCAAAGCAGTTTAATGAGAGTGGGATATTACGACAGATTAATAGCCTGGAAAAGTGAGACAGACAAATTAAGATCAGAGAGAAAATGTTCCTAATTGCACATTGTAGCTTTCAAATACAAAATGGATTGTGTCTTATGACATAAATCTAGCAGTCAAAATTAGAAAGAATTGAAAAAAGACTCAAATGTTTAGCAAGGATATATGGCTGCATGAGACATTTATTTTGTCCAACAGATGGAAGTTTCAAGTTGTCTGCTCCTTGCTCTGTATCTGTGCAGAGGAGTATTAACTCAGACAACAGAGCTCCCTCCAAAATTATGGGATTTATTAAACCCAAATTTATGGGTTTAAAGATCTGAGTCTCAAGAGGTGCCTTTCTCGTTTCAGCTGAATTTTGCTGCATATTTTGTTATACTACATCAGACACTGACTTCCAGTGGAAGAAATTCTAGTGAAAATAAAACCTGATCTGAACTTTTGATGGAAGAAGCCTGTAAGAAGATTTTTATTTTCTTTTGACTGTGTAATAACAATATACTTATCACACCTGGAGGAACTATAATTCAAAGTAGATATGAACATATAAGCTTATTTCAAGATGTGAATTCTTGAATGATAGCTAATTACCCCTGTTCATTTTCAAAGTCAGGCTAAATGCAGCAAGTCTGAAAAGAAATCTGTTCCTTAATACTTGCAAAATTCTGTTGTTTTGCTTTGCAGCTGTACCCATATTATGATAAAATACACTGCTCACTCCATTGGACGAAGACAACATTAATTTTTTCTTTTCAGTTTGGAATCAAGAAACAAAATTTGATAGCTATTTCTCAAATATTTTTGCTGAAATCTAACTTGTAACTTCATACATGGTTGTTACTGCTGTGTTTGGACTCTTTGGAAGGTACACAGCCCTGGCTTTGGCTGGGGTAAAGCTGATTTTCTTCACAGTAGCTCTATGGTGCTGTGCTTTGGATTTGTGAGCAAAACAGCATTGATAGCACACCGAAGTTTTAGTTATTGCTGAGCAGTGCTTACACAGCATCAAGGCCTTCTCACAACGAGATGCCAGTGAGCAGGCTGGGGGTGCACAAAGAGTTGGGAGGGGACACAGCTGTGACAGCTGACCCAACTGACCAGAGGGGTATCCCCCACACCATACGGTGTCATGCTGTGCAATACAAGATGGGATAAACAGGAGCAAAGAGGAAATATTCATGGTTATGGGATTTGTCTTCCTGGGTAACCATTACACGTGATAGAGGCTTGCTTTCTTGGATATGGCTGAACACCTGTCACCTGATGGGTAGTGGATGAATTCCTTACTTTGCTTTGCTTGCACGCATCCGCTTCTGCTTTCCCTATTAAGCTGTCTTTATCTGAACCCAAGAGTTTTCTCACATCTACCCTCCTGACTCTCTTCGCCATCCAACTGGGGTGGGAGTGAGTGACTATCTGTGTAGGCCTTAGCTGCTCACTGGGGTTAAACGACAACATACAGGAAAAACTCACCTATGTAGGATCAATTCACCCTCTGTCCCTGAGGTCTTAAGAGGATCTACAGTTTTCAGTTATAGAAATAAATTCATTTTATTTGAGAGAAATGACAATCAATAGTTAAATTATTGCTGCAAGACTTAAGCTTAATCCTGTGGTAGAGATATCCCTCTGTAGTGAGGGTGGGTTTCTCTTGGCTTTTTTCCCTTCCCCTGTGTTGGGGAAGGGTATGTGTGGCAAGGTTTTGGTAGGAGGGTAGCTCCAGGGGTGACTTCTGTGAGAAGCTGCTAGAAGCCTCCCCCATGTCCAACAGAGTCAATGCCAGCCCATTCCAGGGTGGACTCACTGGTAGCCGAGGCTGAGCCCATCAGCTCAGAGTAACCAGCACCTCTGGAGTAACATATCTGAGAAGGGGAAGTTGCCGCACAACAGCAGCTGGAAGAGACGAGTGAGAATATGTGAGAGAAGCAGCCCTGTGGACACCAAGGACACCAAGATCAGTGAAGGAGGAGGGGGAAGAGGAAGGCACCAGAGCAGAGATTCCCCTGCAGCCTGCGGTGCAGACCATGGTGAAACAGACTGTGCCCCTGCAGACCACGGAAGTCCAAAGTGAAGCAGATACCCATGAAGGACCCCATGACAGAGCAATTGGATGTACCCTGAAGGAAGCTGTGACCCTGTGGACAGCCCATTCTGGAGCAGGCTCCTGGCAGAACCTGTGGCTCCGGTGAGAGAGGAGCCAACGCTGGAGCAGGTTTGCTGCAGGACTTGTGATCGCATGGGAGACCCACACTGGAGCAGTCTATTCCTGAAGGACTGCACCCTGTGGAAAGGACACATGCTGGAGAAGTTAATGAAGAAAATGAATACTAGAGAAGTTCATGGAGGACTGTCTCCCATGGGTGGGATGCCATGTTGG